CCCCCCCCCCTAAAAAAACAAGCCAACCAAACTACTAAATTCCCTTATAGATACCTAAGGCATGCTATTACCATGTGATAGATTAGGTTAGGGTTTGATACTTTAAAAGCTCAGTAAGGACAGTGTACAATATATGCAGGTGGCAGGCACGCATGAGAGAATGGGATGTTCACAGTAGTCTTGTGTATCTGGTGTAGTTACAGTGCTGGATGGAGTGAGAGACAGGACTAGAAATAGGAAACCTTGGCTGGTTCACTTCTAGCATTTGTTAGTACTCCACTTGATGCTGATGGAAGTGGAGAACATGAGTGTTGGAGACCATTTACTCTAAGTATGGATTGCGTCAGCTGTTGGACACTTGCATTTCTTAGGAATGATGATCAGAGCGACTACTTTCAGGACACTCTAAAGAGCGAGAAGAGGTTGTTTCCTTCTGTAACTTATTCTGATGCCATGGAAAGCAGCTACAACTGTTTATTTTGTCCAGACTTTTGCATAAACTATCTTCCTTCTTGTAAATGCAAATCATGAAATACTGGTTATAGACATTTTATAACTTGTCTCTTTTTTTTCTGACTCAGATTTCCATCCTCCAGAGGGGAAGCAGAGAGACTGTTTACTGCAGATTGTTTGCCGTGATGGGAGGACAGTCAACCTCTGTGCAGAGAGTGCAGATGACTGCCTGTAAGTCTGCCAGAGAATATTGGTTTTGCTGCCTCCTCTTCTTTTATCTTTCCTTTTCTCTTTCTCCCTAATTATTTTCCTTCTTTTGGACTTTGAGATATGTTTTAAGAAAGTTTTCGAACAAGTAAAAGCAGACTTTCAGTGACAAAAACATAGCTCTCCTGTAAGAGGTTGTCTAACTCAAGCAAACTAACTGTAAGTTAAGCCACTCAGAACTCTGAAGGGTGAGAAGGAGTAAAAGAATCTTACTAATATGGTTACTGCAAGACTGGCTGAACAGATTTTTTTTTTTTTCCCCACTTTTCCCATTTTTCAAGTAGTACCCGACCCTGCGTAGCCCAAGGACATCCCAATCAGTAGTGAAGGGAAGGCTACTCCTTTATTGTGAACTCTCAACTGAGCTATGTATAGCTGTATACCTGTATGCATAGTTAGATAACTTCTGTCATCTCAGTATTTGCCAAGTATGCGTGGTGCATTGAGCATGCTCCCAGCCATATGGCACAGGAGTACCTGTGTGAAGGATATGTACCTTCTGTTCAAACTGTAATAGTGTCAAGACCCCCACTGTAGTCGGCACAGATGCAGCTGTTCAGGCAGGAGATACCACTTCCCTGGTGCATCTCTTCCTATTACCTTATCCTGAGTGTGGCTGCCTATTGCCTAGCTGTTTTGCTTGCAGCGATGACCTTCAAAACCACATCTGTTCCTTCTCATGTTCCTCCTTATTCCTTCTCAGCTCTGCAAAGAAAGTAATATTTCTCAATCTTGGTGTAACACCTTTCTGCATTCATTTTACTGTATCATTAGGCTTTGACATATGCAGTATCTTAAACTCTGCTCGTGCAGTACCTCTAGGCACTCAAGGTGCTAACCTTGGTTTTTTCATAGCCCTAAAAGGAAAAGGTGGCATTAATTTTTATTGTTCCACTAAACAATGGGGGTTTTTTTTCAGGGCATGGAAAATTGCTCTCCAGGACGCCAGAACAAACACAGTAAGTGTACTACCTAGACTTTATACTGATAGAGAAGCAGTACATCAGTGTTATGTGTGGTCCAGCAGTTTACTTCTGAAATCATGTTCCATCCTTCCCTGCTAGAGAAGAACAGGGTAATGAGCATGATGGTAAGGGTGGGAGAAGAATGATCCTCTGGATCACAAGCACATGTCATCCTTGCAGCCAAGTCCAGGCAAATACATGCTGGATGGGAGTGATTTCAGGGAACGATTTCTCTGGGTGGAAGTGAATGTTTTAGAAGCTGATCTGTAAGGGAAGTAGGCACTGAGGCTGTGGGCAATAAGTAAATCTGCAACCAGCAAAAATGCACTTTCCACTACTAGGATTTGTTGCATAACAGGTGCAGCACTAAAGGAAGTTTACTGCAAAGAAGCTGTTTATTAATATAGATCCATTACATTGTGGGATGCTTCTTGGTGGAGACCAGGGGAGAAGCAAGAGGTGCTTGGAGGGGAGTGCAGGCATGTCAAGAAGGAGTATATTACCTCTGCATTGGCATGTTAGCTGTGGAGAGTGAAGAGGTCAGGAATCATAAAAGCCTTTCTGTGAGTCTTGGAGTTCTCTAGAGAACTGTATCTTTGGGGACCCACATCCATCCACTTGTGGGTATTAATTTGGTTTTCCTCCAGGCTACTCTTCAGCACTAACTTTCCTTAGATGGCTACACTGAACCAACCTGAGACAGTTCTGTTTCATGGGGAAATGCTGGGTTTTGTAGATGATTATCTCGATTTTTGAAGGGTCACATTAACATTGCCACTGTTCTGAGACATCTGTCATATGATATAACATAGATCTGTAGATACCCAAAGCAAACACTTGTCATAGAAAAACTGCCCTGGACATGACTGCCTCTGACTGCAGCCATGCTTCATGGTGCTAAATGAGAAGTGCGATGGTGACTCCTGGTTCAGGACTTAGGAGCTGCTGCTTTTCATGTCTCTGACGCTCAGCTGCCAGCCCTGCTAGATGGCATTCAGAACTTGCCAGTGCATCACCTTTGTCAGCCAAGGCAGACTCCTGCTACTGAAAGTAGGGCAGGTAGCTCTCTGCACAAGTAGTCTCATAAATTAGCACTTTCCAAAGCTATTAAATGTCTCCAAGAAGGACCTGAACTAAGCAGTTAACTGTGTTTCAGTCCATCTGTAGGTGTCTGACACAGCTTTCAAAAATACCGAGCATCCAGCAGCACTTCATAACTTTACTGGAATAGCAGGGTGATCACCCTAGCTTTGAGAACTGTGTCATGTACAGACGTTTGCAGGCTTGTGTCATATGCCTGTAGAGTTTCCTGTAGCAGAACAGAGTATGTTTACTGCTAAGATGTGAGCATTTGCTGGACTTTTTCTTAGGTGGTGAAAATAACTGCCTCTTCATATAGTGCTTTCAACAGTGTGTTTCAAGCAATCTTGAGAATCTCCACCACAAGTTTGACCTGAGATACAGCCATAGTATGCTCTCAGAAGTCTTTCTATAGTCCAGGCACAGGAGACCATAGGAACATTCTCTATTGAGCTATTGAAGCGCTCACTTGTAAATTAAAAGAAGGGAGCTGGTTTTTTTTTCCTTGGGATAGGGCACTGACTAAGAGCATCACTGTGGACTTCTCATATTAGGAGCAACTGTAACAAATCTTGAGTATCTTTGGGAGCTCCTTGTAGATGGATTCAAGTAAGTTATCACCTTTGCCTCATGGCTGCCTTCAAAAAGGACCAGAATTATAGGTGGCATTTGCAAAGTAATTCCCTAAAAACAACGAAGCCCCCAAATCCCTACAGTTAAACCTCTCTTTTTTTTTTTTTTTTAATAGAGGTAGCTTAGAACTGTGACAGTGTTCTGCTGAAGTGTTCAGGTGCTGCTTTTGTCTCCTGCATTTGTTTGCTTCATCTGCTCTTGCAGAACTTGGTGATATCACTCTAGGGTGTCAGGAAGCAGCTAGCTTAGTTGTGGAGACTTTTTTTATCTGAAAACGGAGGATGAACAAGAGGGTAGTTTCTAAAACTGAGCCTATGAAATGATGGGAGGAGTCGGTGTGTTTGCACATACATGTATGCATGTGTGTGTGCACACACACAGGTAAGAAATTTTATGGCTCCTTCCTGTGGTTGATCAGGCATGTGTATGCTCTCCAAGTGGTTTCTTTTTGCAGTGCTTTATAAGGTACTCACTGCTTTTTTAACATGCAACACATCTAAAGGTTACTCTTTAGGGACATTTAAGTTTTAATCTTTGCACTACTCGTAACTGGCTGTAGGAAAAGGTGATAACTGCCACCTTGCTATGGTGTTTAGGGCTACGTGGGATCTGATGTGATGTACGATGAGACGGCCATTTCGTCAGCCCCTCCTCCCTATACAGCTTATGCCACACCGTCACCTGAGGTAAGAGTTGCAGTTGAGAAGCATTAAAATAAGTGAGGTAGCAGAAGCAGCCATCCTTCATGCACTCAAATCATATTCCCAAAGTGATGATCACAGTTAGATCCAGCCTGAAGGTCTGTACAAAACGAGAGTAAGAGTAAGGCACTAACAACTATTGTTGCTTCTATTTGAGATGGATTGCCTTTGAAAGGGCTAAGGCAGATTTGGATTGGGAGGTATATAAAGAGATGGCTTCTCAGTGAACTTGGAAAATAAAGCTTCTTAGTGCAGAAGTTATTCATCTAATCTTGAAAAATATTGGCCGTGCAGCTTTTAACATAAGGAGGTGTGAATACACTTTCACATTGTGTAAGCACTGGAAGGATACAAACCCAGGAGTTTTAAAAATAGGATTTAATGACTGGAGCTGTCACTCTTAACACATAAGGATTTTGTTCTATCCAAGATGTCATAGCAACACAATAACTCTAGCTCCTGGATGCACAGTTCTTTTGCAGTGGAGAAGGATCAGCATTGGAGCTGAACCAGTATACGTTGGGGATTTCTGGATATTCTGACTGACATGCAGTGATACCCAAAGGGATAGTTCTGGGGTAGTATTACTTCATGCACTCTACCCCATCACTGTTGTTAAGAACTAGATGTGGTACTGGGAGCTGTATCAGGGCTAGCAGCAGGCTTCCCCTCTTGGAGAATAAAACTGCTTCCAAAACGTTCAGCTAGAGTGTTTGTCCTGGATCTGACATTTACTTGCAGTGTGCTAGAGGAGAGTTGGTTAGAGTTTCCTGGGATCAGTTGCTCCTTGCCTGGCACTTCTGAGCTCCCCAGAGAGCTGCTGTTGGCATGAGGGCAGAGAGGAGAAGCTGGTAAGGCTGCTGTGGCTCTGCCCAATGATCCAGACCCTGCCTCTGCCATTCACCCTCCAGCAAGGGTGGAGAGCAAATGCTGCTTAAGAGCAGTTGTTTTTTTCAAGCAGCAGTTCTGAATCCTTTCCAGTGAGTAGATAGAGCATATCAGTACAGACTGGATATTTTAGTAAAACTTGGACTGCATTAGAAATGAGGGAGAATTGAACAAAGCGCATAATTGGATACATTGCAAAGAATGCTTTGGTATGTTTAACTTCACCAGGTATATGGCTATGGCTACGATCAGTACAATGGTGCGTATCCACCTGCTGGTCCTCAAGTCTTCTATGCCTCCAGTGGACAAGCTTATGCTGTTCCCTATCAGTATCCATACCAAGGTAATCAGTATGAACCATAACCTTCACCTTCCTAGAGAAGTTATTTGAGTCAGTCTTTCTGGCTTTAATTCTATGAATCACTATCCTTTACCACACACTACTTCTGCACAACAGAGTGATAGAAAGAAACCTGACCTGTAACTGGAACCAAGTCTCCTTACCCTTTTGCACCAAGCAAGCACAGTGAAGTTTCTATTAAGTGATTTAACCTTCCCAATGTGATCCCAGCATATTTAAACAAACTCTTTTTGAAGCATACAGAACTCTCTTAACTACAGTAGGCAGCATGTTTTCTAAGGAAAGATAGAAGAGCTAGGACAAGACTGATTCAGTACTCCATACTGGGCATTGATGGAGCTTTTGATTCATCTATTGCTATTATACCTAGCTTAATTATTTCAACACTGACATTCAGCTATGACCTCACAATTAAATGCAAGTTTCAAAAGTAAATTCACTCCCAAAGCATGGTAACTGAGTCCTTCCCCACATGCTGGAATTGCTGTAAGGCAGTACATTCAGCCTTGTGAAGTCTTCTAAAGCTTTGTATAGCTTTCAATCCCAATAAAAGAGGAAAGGGAGCAAAATTTTAGGGGGTGCTTTTAAGCTTAATCCCCTTAATTTAGGATTAGCTTTGCATAGAGCGCCCCAATCCTACAGAATTGGTGTTTTGGAGTAGTAAGGGTAATATATCAAAAGATTTAACTTACTAATTGTTTATGATCTGGCTCTGCAAAGAAGAATCTTCAGATTTTTTTTTTCAGTTTTGAGGAGGATTTTTTTTTTCCATTTGACATTTGTGAGTTCTGCCTTTTCTATTTTTTGTTACAAGGGAGGTGCATCAGCTTAAAGCTTTTAAACCTTTCCTCATCTAAGTTAGTGATCCTAAGATACAGATCATAGCAAACACAGAGGAAGGTTCGCAGCAGCTGAAAAGCAGAAGCTTGTTGAAAGTCCCAAGAACGATTTTTAAAAACTATCAGCAGACCTTGGAAATCAAGCTTCAGAAACTTGAATGATAAAATCCTAAACAGTTTGCAAGTCCAGTGTGTTAAGATACTGGTTATAGGTTGGGCATAGTAACCAAGCCTCAATGCTTTCCTTCACTAGGGTTACTGCAACTAAATCTTAGGGGTCAAGTTCACCTCTAGCAACTTAACCCCTGTACTTTCGGCTTCTTTGCTTTTTCTCTGAACTGACGTAATCCTTCTCATGAGGTTCCCAGTCATGCATCATTGAAAGTCAGTGAGAGCATTTTCCAGTTGTATTAGTTGGATTACTTCAGTATCAGTTAGCAAAAGCATTGCAGTATCTCCAAGAATATTTAATTTTCCTGAAGTGTCTGGAAGGGAAAGCAGTACTATTAGGTTTGCTTTGCAGGTCGGAGCTAAGCCACAAAACATGACAGGTGGAGCTTGTACAGGTCTGTTGCAGAGCAAGGGTCAATTGGTGGCTTCTTGAGTCTTAGGTTAACTCCTTAGTAGTGGGCCAGTCTTCATCTAAAAAGAAATGTAGCAGCTGTCACCATACAACAGATCAGCCCAGGATGTGAAAGCTGAATTGAAGTAGTAAGCAGTAATTGCAGAGTAAATAACTGATCCACACTTTCTGACAAACCACTGGCTTCAGAGCTGCCAAAGATGTTTTTGGAGAGGGAACTGCACTATTTGCCTTAACTTGAAGGCTAAATTGATTTTTAGACCCATTTCTTGGATTAAATCCACTGTTTGATAGGATACAAGTAATTCATAGGTTCTTTGCTAATTCAAATGCAGAACAGCGTTCAGTTTTACATTTGTGATGAGCGTTTCTCCCAGATGTTAAACTCTTACAAGGCTAGAAGTGTTGCTAGGCCTCTGGATTTATTTAACAAATGTGGGGGCTGAATCCAAAGCAGAGATGTATTCTACCTTTGTAGCTGACATCATCTTAGTGTTCAGTGGAAGAGGGTGAAAGAATGGGCGTGGTTTGGAATTGCAGTGCATGGTATTAAGATACATGTTTCTTTTGCCCTTCTTCTAACAATCTCTTATTACCTAGGACCTTATGGCCAGCCCCCTGCAAACCATGTCATCATTCGAGAGCGTTACCGTGACAGCGATGGAGATCTTGCACTGGGCATGCTTGCTGGAGCAGCGACTGGAATGGCTCTGGGATCATTATTCTGGGTCTTCTAGATTACCCGTTCCTTATCTTTGTAGTTCCAAAAAACTTTATTGTGTGCAATAATATATTTGCAATGTTGTTTACTGTTAAACTTTAAGAAATGCAATAGTTATTTTTCAGTAGTGACATCTTAATAACTGATTCTTAACTGTCTTAAGGAGAGTTTAAAGGCACCGTTTGGTTAAGTGGCTGGAGATGGCATGTGCTGTGCTTGAATTCTGTCCTGATGTTAGAAGGATTTGTACTGATAAGGATCAATGTGAGCACCAGTGTAACATGGTAGCAGTCACTAGCTTTATGAACAGACTGTTATTGTGAACACCGTAGAAAAAATGGATTTTTTGAGGGGTCTAAAATCTGGTCCAAATAGGCAGTTTACAGGTGCCCTGCATTAGTGTATATGTACTACTGGCTTCTAAACATTCCCTGGACAAACATATAGCTCAGCAGAAACTCCTTGGCATTAAGTAGTCTGCCATGCTCAAGGAGTTTTTTGTTTTAAAACTTGCCTGCAGATGGTAGTGTATTTTCTCAGGTGGAGTTCTGTACCTGTCGCTCACACCATCCAGGTGAAGTTGTCCTTGAGAACATAAAAGCAAACCGCAAAGAAGTGGCAGCACTCCAGTTCTTTTATTCTCCCAGAAATGTGAATGACCAGTAGCAGGCAAGACAAATGTTTGTTGTTCCACCTCCCTCTTCATCCCGAATCACTCTGATCAGATGGAAGTAATGGATCTGCAGCTTTGCAAGTGGACCTCCATTTCTGTAGAACAGTTGCCTCAGACACTGAGGCCACTGTCTAGTGTCTTTGCTCATACTGCTGTTGCTCTGCAGAGTCTGCAGGAGAAAAACTGACTTAAACAGCCGCTGCCCTGTCGGGGCTACCAGAACCCCTCTGCGGGCAGTAATAGTCAAGAGGGGAGAGACAACAGCACAAATAGACCTTGCACACAGGCACTTTGGTATCAGCTGCCTTGCCAGGGCTAGGATAGAACGTCTGTCTCTTGGCCTCCAAGGTCTCCTGAACCAGGTTCATTATTTGCAACTAAATTTTGAGCACAGCTGAGCCTGGTTTTGTTCTGTGCACGCTTCCCCCTCACATTCAGCAGGTCTCTTCCCTCCATGACTTAAAGAAAACACTCCAAGGAACCTGGCTGGCTTTGCTTGTGTCTGGTTCCTCAGTGTGCTCCTGCAGGCTGCTGTGCTGTGGGGTGTAACCTGGAGCACAGCTGTTACGGGTGTGACCTATTACCTGATCCTGTTGTTATCCATGCCGAGCTGTGCTTGGCAGGGGAAAGAGAGCTCTGAAGAAATGCACGTGCTTTCTTATTGAGGTATAAGAGGCAGGGTGCCCAAGTTGAGTTCTTTATAGAAAGAGGACTTATTTTTATACTTCTACTTTCAGCTTCCTGTATTCATACTGTTTTAATATGTTGTCTTTTTTAGGCTTTCATACAGAAGTAGATTAATTTCCTTAAGGTTCATGGGGTTTCGGGATATCTCAGGAAAGATGAAAATAGATGAGAACTTGCACCCATATAAATTTAGATTAAGCCCTAACCTTTTTCATCTCATCCTAAAGCTGTCTTGGCTCTGTCCTACATATTAAAGCAATAGAGGCCTTGGACAAGAGTTTGGGTAGAAGCCAGGGGGAGCACTAAGCTTTCACGACTGTTCGGACTAATCCAACAAGCTGAAAGCATCGGAAGTGAGCAGACAGATGTAATCTTGGCTGCATGACAGAGTGGGCCTAATCCACAAAACGTAAACTTGTTTCAAGGAACTTTGGTTTGGAGTCGTACATCAATGTGCATGTGTATCCTTTCACAGATTAATACAAGCTGCATGTGTTCTGCCAGTGGTATGTACTGAAAGGACTTGTTGGATGTTCAAAAGAGAACTAAAGTAAAAGTTTCCTATTGCTTGTCCAAACCAGAAGAAATTGGAGTACACTACTGAAGTTCTCTTAGAGGCCTGGTACCCTTGAGGTCAGAAAGAGATGGTGACTGTCTGGAACTTAAGTGAACAAACATTTCTACCCTTTTTAAGCCTTGAGATAACCTTGAAGCTGATCCCAGGTCTACACTGCTGTTTAGTTTGCATGTTACAGTATACCTAGTTCTGTAGAATGCCTCCCTTGCCTCTTCTCCCTGTGTGACATTTAGCTTGTGAGGGGTGGGGGAGAATAAAACAATTGAACATCATTGTGATTTCTTCTGAATTTCATAATTGTGAAAGAATAGCACAAAGTGAATCAGCTAGCAATTTATTTTAAGTTCAGAGTTACATTGTGTGGGTTTTTTTTTTTCAAGAGCTTCTGATCACAGCAGGGGAACATGTCTCGTGCTTTCAGGAGATGACTGTGTCTAGGTCCCCACTTTCTTTAAGTGAAGTATATAAGGTAAGGACTGTTGATTACAAAATATTCCTGGGTTGAATTGAAAGCAAGAAATTACATTTTTAAAAGTTCAAATTGAAATAAGTCTCCATTAAAAAAATAAGCTTAACCCTTCTCAAGGAAAAAAAAAATTTACGAATTGAAGCTGAAGATTCTAATTCCATCTTAGTAACAATAGGCTGCTTTTATAAAAAAAAATCATGAGGTACTTTTCTATCCTGGTAGGATTTAGAGCCTAAAAAGCAAATGTACAAGACTCCGTTAGAGCATAAAGTCCAGAGAGCAGTTACCTTACTGCAGGTGCTTGTAGCTTTTCCGATCTCAATGCAGTTAGAAGTGGAAATAGGTTGGTGCACAAAGCACCAGCAGGGGGATAGCCACTGGAATTCACTGGTCGGTAAAGCTCATAGACTTGCTTCCTGAAGACATGGCCATACCTCCTGTGGCTCAGGAATGGAGTGGAGGTTTGGTCATACCTGTAATACTGTCTGGCTGGATACATGTCATGACTCAAGAGCCTTTCGCTGCCCAGTCCAGTACTTCATATATCTGCAGCTTGTGTAGATGCTGGTGTGAGCTGAAGGAGCAAGGCCCCTGTGAATTTTGGGCCCTGGAGGGACTGCCATGCCCACTTCTGCAGATCAGTGATAACACAGTGATGGAAGGAGGTAGTGGGTGTGGCAAGATCATTTTCAAAACAGGTTGAAATTATAGTCCTAAACGTGTTCATTTCCAAACAGTGCTATTCATGATGCTGTGATTCCAGTTATACCTGCACAGCACCAAGCACACGCTTTTCTACCTGGGGCCCAACATTTAACTTCCCTAAAGCTGTGGGAGGTCCACAGCCACTACAATGCAACTGGTTTTTGCCGTGTCCGCTGTCAGTTGATTTGTATAGCAGTTACAGTCTGTTCAGAATTAAATGTCAGTGCTTACAGAGGTCATGGGTCTAGATGTTCATCTGTGACTAGTTACACTGGGATTCTCAGTTGTGGACATCTGGACAGAGCCAGGCTTCCAGAGAGTGCGATGGAAATGCTCAGCTTTCTGTTAAGTCTGACCACATTAAAGAGGTGAACCAGGGCCCCCTCCCCAATTCTTCATTACATGTGAAAACATAGCCGTTGGCTTTTTTTTACTTGAACTGGGGGGATATGGGGAGCCAGCCTCTTCCAGGGAGTGGTTAATGGCTTGTGAACTAGAGAGCAAGGGGCAGGAAGTGTTTACATACAGAGTAAGTGCACTGACCTTTGGCAAAAACCTATCTTTTCTAGTGCTGAAACACACTGAGCTGCATCTAGATAGAGCTACCCTAAATGTCACACTACACTGGCTTCATTGTGTTTGTTCTTCAGGGGAGATTCAATAACTGATGGAACCAGCTAAGCAAGCTGGGTAAAGGAGAACATTCACACTTGTGTTCTTCAGATGTATTTGTGGCTTTTTCTCCTCATGATACATGTGTAAGTCATGGAGGGTAGCATGCAGCAGATGTGTCCCTCCCAATCCTTCATGTTCTTGTGCACTCTCTATCTTAACTGCTGCTTTTACTATATGTCCTCATTATTAATTTATAGCAAAATATCCTTAGCAATAAAATTCATATTTAAGTGTAATTGTTTTGTCTTGACATGTTTACTGGCCTTTATTCAACATTTCTCATTTAGTGAGTCTGTAGACAAACATGTAGTCAGCTTACAGGCTGTTTCCTGTGCAGGGAAACAGTGCCATGACCAATTCTGTACACCTCCAGTCTTCCCTAAGCAATTACAAGGGTGACTTGACTTAGTTCATTTTCCTACCAAGATAACTGTGGCTGTTGGAGAGCTCAGGCTGACATACCTCAGTCATCTCCATTACCGTTTAATAAAGATGATGTCTGTGAAATCAGCAGAGTAATTCCACACTAACACCACCATACCAAGATTAGAGTTAAGGCCTATTTCTTTTTTAATGGAGTTGAAGGCTTTGACTCAAAAATGCTTTAACCCTGGATATATGTAAGGCTGATCCAGATTTACCATTTGACATTGTGTTATCAACAGATTTGTACTGTTTAATATTACCGTAAGCAGCTTGGAGCACAGATGTTGCTCTGGGCAAAATGCTACTGGTTGCTGTATTGGTATTCCTGTTTATGAATTGCTTTGGTGGAGTTGGGTACAATCAGTAAGTTTGCTTAGACAAGGACACTAAATGACCACAACTAGTTTCATCACCTAAAGGCAGACTATCTCATACGTTTGCTGGGAATTAAACTATTTGTCAGAGTATCATAGTACATTTTGTAAACCATTACCCTTACTTTATGTACCTTTTTTTTTCCTGACTGTTGAGGGGTGGTGATTTTTTTTTTTTTTTTTAGCCACAAATCTGGGGGAGAAATTAAAACAAAATTGCTATTTCAACCAATCAGGTAATGTGGGAGTACACATTGGTCTTTTCCACAGCATACTGTGCTGGCTATGCTTATTTTTATCAGTCATTGGTTCCATACACTGGATTTACTGGGCTAAGCAAATAATTATATACACTTAACTCTGCCCATCACAGAACCACCTTTACTGCAATTTCTGCACCAGAACAAATTAGAGAACTAAGTTTGCTGTGCAAGGCTTAGCAGCTCAGTACCTTCCTGAGCAGCCGTGCTCCTGACCTGGCAACAGCCTCGAGAATGGGCTTTGCCTCCCTTACTCCTTCCCCTTCTACTGTGTTTTCTGTCCTGTTTGTGGTCACCAAATGCAACCACAGTAATTAACTTGGGTTGTATTCCCAAAAGCAGGGATTTTTTTTTTTTGTCCCTCTCCTGTTTTGTCCCTCTCTCCTGTTGCGGTTCCACTACAATGTGTTGAAGTGCACATGGAACAGTTGCTGTTCCCTCCACTTCAGTGGAGCTGGAAGTCGTCGTGTCCCGTGTCCCCCCCCGTATGTTCTGAGCACTTACTAACTACAGATGAGAGCTTGTACCAACAAACTGACACTAACGCACTGATTTGGGACTCTGATTACCACAGGCTATCATATGAGGTTCCAGAGCTTTTGAAGCATCTCTAAAAGACTCCAGGACTCACAGGGCAAATAAAGACTCCAATAATTTAAAGCTTAAGATCTATTTAATGATTATTTTTAAGGTGCACGTTGTGAAAGTTTCAGGCTGACAATACTGGGCCTAATGGGGCTGAAGATGGTGGATGCACTGCTGGTACCGCCCGGTTCTCCACACGCTTTAGGTACCGCAGAGTATGACAGGTGAAGTCGCGCGTGACCCAGAACGGTGGCTGACGGGCCCTCAGGGGCCGGGGGGCTGCGCTGACCCTGCTTGGGGC